CCCCCCCCTCCCTGTGAGAATTTGCAATCGGAAAGAAAAAAAAAGGAAAAAATTCCACTTGGGAAAAAGGGAGCCCGAATTGCTCTTTGATCCCAGCAGTTTCAAAAAGGTTTAGATAAAAAAGAAAGGGGGAAAAAATCCCAGAGCCGTTTAGCTAGGTGGTTCTACCAAACTCTTCATTTCCCCCCCCCTCTCCTCCGGGGTCTTTGGCTTCCCGGCTGGGCCTTGGCTCTGCCCGTTTCCCCTTGGGCGATCCCCCCCCAAAAAGAGAAGAGGCTGAACTCGAGGGCCCATCGTTCTGCACCAGCCAGGTGTGGAGGTGAAACTCACCTCCTCCTCACCTTACAGCTGCGAGGAGGGACGGAGGGAGGCGCCTGCTTGGCAGCCAGGCCTGTTTTCCCTGGTCCAACCTGAAAATCCCCCGGGGGGGCCTTGCCAGCTCTTGCCGCGCTTTTCTGGTGCTTCGGTGGAGGGCCGGCTCTTCCGTTCTTGTCGAGAGCAACTTTAGGCAGACTTGAGGCAGGAAAAAGTCCCTTGGAGAGAACGGGAGGACGAAGGGAAGGAGGAGAGGAAGAGGGAGGGCAGGATGGGAGACCAGCTGGAGTCCTGGTGCACTTTATAAATCAGTGGTTTTGTGATTACGTGTTTCCTTCCTTCCTTCTTTCCTTCTTTCCTTCCTTCCTTCCTTCTGTCCGTCTCTCATCCTTCTGTTTTCTTTCTTCCTCTTTTTCCTTTCCTTTCCCCTCCCTCCCTTCTGTCTCTCGTCCTTCTGTTTGTTTCTTTTCTCTTTTTCCTTTCCTTCCTTTTCCTTCCCTTCCCTTCCTCTCCTTTTCCTTCTCTTTTCCTTATCCTTCCCCTCTTTTTCCTTCCTTCCGTCCTTCTCTCATCCTTCTGTTTGCTTCCTCTTTTGCCTTTCCTTTCTTTTTCCCTCCCTCCCTCCCTTCGTCTCTTTTTCCTTCTATTGTCTTTATCCATCCTTCCCCTCTTTTTCCTTTCCTTTCTTTTTCCTTCTTTCTCTCCCTCCCTC